CACACACACACACACACACACACACACACACACACACACACACACACTCTTTCAGAAAAAATCTTGTGCAATTTTCTGTGCTGGCATCAGTTCACTATTGACTCTAGGTAATCTTCCTTGGGCAGTAAAGTATTATTATTATTAAATATATACTACTGCCAAATCCATAACATGATACTCAGAAGCCTGAACAGTCCAGCACAAGACCAAAATAAATGGCAGAAACTCCATCTGAGGTTGCTGGAGGAGAAATAAATAAATAAATTCATTACAATAGCCTTTAGCGGCACTGGTCAGGTCCCCCATTGTGCTAGACATTGTATGTACTTGTAGTAAAGACAGGCCCTGCATCAGAGTTTACAATTTAATTTTTTGGCAAGATTCAACTGGTAGATGAAACAGTCGAGCAGACTGCGGGTGGTGGGGAAGTAAAACAGGATTTCTTTTTAAAGGGATTGATCAGATTCCCTGTTGACATAACTGGAAGTTGGCTCAAGCCCATCATTAATGGAGTGGGCACAAACATGCTTTCCTTTAGTTGGAGACATAAATATCTATTTTGATCCATTTTTAAAATCTGTAAAGCTAGATATTGCACCCTTTCACATAACCAATGTGTGTGTAATTTTGTGCTTGGATAGAATTCTGTATTAACTAGCTCCAACCTATAACTATCAAGAGATTTTTAGGGAGGAGCAGCAATTGCACTTAGCTCCTGCCTGTGAGCATGCAGGTAACCTGAAACCAAAAGAAACTTGCCAGCTCAGTGAGTAGTTTTCATGGCATGGGACACACTTGGTGTTTTGGAGAGGAGGGAACATTGGGCAGAATCTTTGCAAGTTATAGGTTTTTGTGCAGATTTTTTACATTCCTGTGGTTCCCCTCCCCCTCCCTCCAAAAATGCAGTATGGGGCCTAATGTCTTGAACGTTTGCTATATTAAATTACAATGGTCTATTTCAGCAAAGGATGTCCTGTATGGCATTGTATATCTGCACTCAAACTCTTACGCAGATACAGGTAACATGAAAGATTTGGGGAAGTTGTATTAAAGATGAGAGTTGGTTCTTCATTTGGGATTTTACATGGTCTATCAAATTGTGCTTAATAACCAGGGTACTTTGAAAAATGTACCAAGTTAAATCTGTAAAAGAATCTGAATTCAGAAAATAACTTCAGTCTAGCAATCCATTGTGCTGACTACTAGCGTCCAGTGGCCACGATCTCATGTATAAAATGTATTGCCTATTTAGTTTGATGGATTAAACATTGCTGTCATTTTTTTCTTAACATTGTCACTCCTTCAGCCCTCTGTATAAGCAGAATTTTGTGTTTTCCAAAAACCCAATCTTTGGCAGTGCAAGTGTTAAGTATGCAGAAGAGTACCATTCCAAGTTAATGCCTAGAAACTCATTCACATGTGACTGAGCATGGGGCTGTGAGACAGAAGCCTGTTATCACCAACAGTAGGTGTGATTCATACAGCTGTAATTCAATAAACTGCTTCAAAATATGGAGAATTTATTTGTTTTTAATTGAAACAAATCACTGTTGTTTCACGTGATAGGCACATGTTCATTTTGAATGTCTAGGAGGAGAGTATTGATAGTGCTAAAAAGTTATTCAGCTAAGTCACAGAAATATTACAGAGTTAGTAATTGGTATTGGGTTCAGCTAACTGTTAAAATAGCTTTTTATAAACAAATAGGATGTTACTTGAAGGGAAACTGCCTGTTTCTGAACCCAGCATTATGATAGTTCAGTCTTGTTTTTTATGTCATCTCTTCTGCTCTGCTAATGACATCAGCTATGCCTGGCCATTTGTCTGCTTCTCCCACAAATATCTACATGCTTTCTTCCACGCTCTCCCTTATTCATGTAATGCCAATCCTAAAGTGATCTGTAAGGCCAATACTCTGTTCCATTTCAAATCCTTCCTTAATACCCACCATTGCTGTAACCCCTACAAGAAAACAGACAACTAATAATGGATAAATTGAGCAGCCAGATGGCATAGCTGATTGGGCTATACATGGCTAGGCTTTAGTTCCTTCTCTGCACTGAGAAGTCTTCCTCCTGGGGGAGACTGGGCTGCAGAGATTGCATACAATAGATATTTAATGTCTTGTCTCTTGTCTTTGTAATCACTGTAGTGGTCCCACTTTCCAACATTTTGCCAGAGAAGAGAGGAAACTAGTTTTAAATTATTTCTGTTTAAGCACCCAACTGATTAGTGCACCGTGGCTGCAGTTCAGCCAGGGCCAGGAAGAGAGAGAATGATGTTTCCCAGTGAAAGGAAAATTTCATAGGGGTTTTTTTTTTCTTTCTTTCTTCTCTCTTCAATTTATGAAGGTCAAAGCTCTCACCTGAGAAACTGAGCAGGAAGGAGTAGGTGGTACGTCTCTGAAAGTCTGAGAGAGAATGAGGCTTATAGGCTCCAGCCAGCCTTGCTACAAGTAATTAAAGGAGTCACAAGTGCAGTAATCAATCAGCAGGCTGTGAGGCAGTATGGGTGTTCTGCTATAGCAAAGCCCTGCAGTAGCATTCTAAGGTTCACTTCAGGCAAAAGCTCAGAGGAGGGTAAGATAGTAGCATTAGGGGTGAGAGGGAAGTCTCAGGAGATGAAGTTTTAGAGCCTGGCTGCTTTGTGAGCTTCGTGGGAAATGTTGTTTGGTTTGCTCTAGTGAATAAATTTGGATGGCTCATGCAAGTTAGCTCCCTGACCCAGGTTCAGGGTCCCAGGACCCTGCAGGCCTGGAGGGTCTGAGTGTGCATTAAGCCAGGCCCCATGGTCTGAGCCCTATCACTTTGCAGTATAGACACAGCCCTGCTTGACTTGAGGCCTGGGAGTCAGCCTGAAGTATCCCACAATTCCATGGGACAACTTCCTTATTCCTTTCTAGCCCAACCATCTGCAATCCACTCTGGAAAACAGAAGCCACTCCCCCCCCCCCACCTTTGCAAACAGCAGGAGCTCAGGTTAGCATTAATCCAGTCTCTTCTGATCATCCATCTGCAAGCATGCGGTCAGTGAGCCTTGTGGGTTTGAAATGGAGAGCAAACCATTCAAGCCTTTTGCAAAGTGAGCTGCTACCTGGTAATCTGCAGGGTGAGCAGTAGAGAAGCAATGCCTTGTTGTTGAGTAAATATTTAAGTAGGAAATGTTTGTCCCCATATTTTTATTTTTTCCTTCACTATCTCTCAAGATGAAGAGAAGCTAATTGCTTCTTAGAGCCAGATATAGCCCAATATCCGCCTAGGGAACTTCCATTGATGTCACTCAGAGAAATGAGCAAAGATTGGACATAAATGATGTCCCTCATTTGAAAAGCAAACAAGGACATTCATGCTTTAAGATTTTTTTTGAAGGGGAAATAGCATCATGTAGTGCAACTGAATAAAGCTCTCTAGTAACAATTAGGCAGACGTAACTATGACAAAGTGAAGGGTAGCAAATAAGCCGCCTAGTCAGGCATTTCATTAATGTGCTGACAGAGGGCCAGATTCTCATACCTTCTGCTGCGTAGTAGGTTACTTCACAAGCAGTCCCTTTGAAGTCAGTAGAGCTACTTGTGGCTCAAGGTGCTATTCAGTGTGACTCAGGGTATTGGAATCTAGTCCACAACAGAAAGTAAAGGCCGGATCCAGAATCCATTGAAGTTAGTTGAAAGACTCCAGTTGACATCAGTGAGTTTTAGGTCAGGTCCCAAATGTCAAAGATAAATTTCAACAAGCAAGGAATAAAGCCCTAAAAATCAACAAATAAGAGAACTGATCTTGGTGGGACTTTTACTTGAATAAGAACTGCAAGATTGGGCCCAAAGTGCATGTTGAGTGTGGTTGTTGCCACAAAGATGAGTATAAACAAATGAGATGCTCATGTGGTTTGGTACTGCAAAGCAGCAAACATTAGAGATTTTAGGGAGTAACAATTTTTTTGGAAGAAACAAGGTTTTTAGAACATTTAAAACAATCTAGGATTGTTTTAAATAGAAAATGCAGATGGATGGGATATCCACTCAAATATCCATCTCCACTTTCTGCTGCATGTTGCCATAAGAGATTTGTAAGAGTCATAGCTCTCCTGTGGGAGAGATGGTTCCTATAGCGAAAAACAGTTTGGATTCAACTGCAATTTTTCATACGCAAAAAAATAATTCCAATTAGTCACAGAAAAGTGACTGATAAAGGTGGAGAATTGGACTGTGCACCTGGATAACCGTGACTATATACATTCCAAACTTAAGAAATGAGCATTTTTCCAGACTCTGAGTAGTTTACCAATGAAAAATACCAATATATTATGTATTAAATACAATTTATACTTGATCTTACAGATCTTTCACTATGGAATAACAGACAGAAATCAAATGCATTATGTTTTTTAATTTGTTTTGTATAGAGCAATATTGTGTGAGTATATAATATAGATATAGATATATATGGAGAGAAAGAGCGCTGTATAGACTTGCACTGAAAAATTCTATAAGAGCATCTGTTTTCATTGCAGACCATGATGTATGAACTTCCTGTTATTTTTTCTAACATTAGCTGCTCTACAAACAACAGAGTGGACTGGTACAACCACATATCTATAGCAGGCATCTTGCTACTATGCATTTAATCTTCAATTTATTTTGTTCAATCTAGATTTGATTTTTCTAAGAAGCAAATACTGCCTGGCAAAAATGCTGCATTGTTATGACAAAAATAACCTTGAGCATATTGAGCAAAGCCTTGAAAGTATGAGGTGAACTACTGCTGATTATTTGAATTAATAAAAATGCCAACAGGTTTTTAAGCAGCAACTGATTGAAATTGATTCTGTTTTCTGACACACTAGCTTTTTGTCAGCATTTCAACTAGCACCTTGAGTGAGAAACTGAAATGGAAAAAAATAAATCTGCTCTGTCTCTCTTCTTGGCGAGAATTTAAGCCACCAAAGTCACAGCTGGCACTGAAAGAACAGTGGCATCAGCAGAGGCCTCTATTCTTGCAGGGCATAAATTGCACTGAGATCCCCTAGCGACACTGCTGCGGAATGGTCTGGGCTCGGTGCTGGCTGGCGTACGATGCTTTCTTTGGTTTTTTTCTGTATTTGTGAGATTCTCTGTGGTCCTTGTAGCTGTGGACTGGTCTTGATTTTTCATAGCTCCTTTATTTTTAGGTCTGAAACTATTATGCTGTTGTCTTCTGTGTTCATATCTGGAACTGCTCTTTATATTATTTTGATCTGTTTCGTTACTGGCACCTTGTGACTTGACAGACCCATTGAGCCGGATGCCGTGATACTGTGAGTTAAATCTTCGTCTCTGGCTAGACGGCCCATTCTATCAAGAAGGGAAATGAATGATCGTTAGGTTGCACGCCCCCTTAAAAGATGTTGTTAAAAACAAATATAACACAGTGAATATTAATAAGTATATGCAGAATCAAATTCCTTATGCAGCCAGTGCATTTGTTTAACCCTGGATGTAACCGAACATATAAGCTTGATCATTGCTAGCGCTCTGTTAAAAACAGCTACATCTACAAGACCATCACTACAGAGTTTGCACCTGAGCAGTTTGCAAATGCGCGTGCTGGTCAAAAGGTGATGATGTATTAGACAGCTCCACAGAAACACCAGCAGCAAAGGTAAGTAGCAGTAAAAAACGTGGGCCCTGACCCTCAAAGGTATTTAGGTGCCTTACTCCTATTAGAATCAATGGGAGTGAGGCACCTAAATACCTTTTGAGGATCTGGACTCAGGTTCACTTTGACTCCCCCCTCCCTGGTCCGGCAAAACTCAGCCTGACTTCCTCAGGAGCTTTACCAAAGTAAGCACTACAGGACAGGGTATTGCAGGGTACGCCTGTAAATGAAACAGATATAAATATGCCACAATATAGTAAGCAGAACTACTGAGCTTGTGAAATACACCTCTACCCCGATATAACGCGACCCGACATAACACAAATTCGGATATAACGCGGTAAAGCAGCGCTCGGGGGGGCGGGACTGCGCACTCGGGCGGATCAAAGCAAGTTCGATACAAAACGCGGTTTCACCTATAATGCGGTAAGATTTTTTGGCTCCTGAGGACAGTGTTATATCGGGGTAGAGGGGTAATATAATTCTCTTGAAATCAGGCAGATTTCAAATGTCAAGATCTACCACGTCCTGAAGGCATGAGTTGATCACTTACCAATAGGAATAAATATTTCCCCATAGCATAGTGTAGGGCAATTAGGTACCATGCAGGGTCTTAAAAACCTTGCTCTGAAGCAAATGGTAGTGGTCACAGGGCATTGATCTGTTCCTGGTATGGCAATTCCTATGTTCCTCCATCACATATGTTCCACACAGTCATGAAACTGGATTTGGAAAACATCTACTAGTTCATTTTGTCCATCCCTGCGAATGGCGAATTGCATATGATGTATTGGAAAATGGTATTTGGTTTTGTGTTGTTCACTTGTAATGCTGCAGATTTTCCCATGAGTTTGTGAATGTTGAACTTCAGTCTAGCTTGTATCTAGTTTCTCACCTGTTTATTTGTTGGGGTTACTTGGGGAGAGGATTCTGTGGGATTGGAAATAAGATGATTTGGCATTTTAGTGCTGGCCGTTTTACTATCAAAGTTCTTGATGTGACTAGAGGATTTTCGGGAGTGTGTACTTTGCTTGCCAGATGCCACATGCGAAGTCACTGACAGCAGCACAGAACTGCATGGTGTTCTTGAGGAGTAGTTGTTCTTTGGATGAGAAACTACAAAAGAAAAACACTCAGTGTTATCAGGTACATCATCAGCACCAAAACACAAGGCCCAGATGCGTATCTCAGTTACACCAGAATTCAGTGGAGTCATTTCAGAATCAGCTCCATAGCCTTTTATTTTTTGCTGTGAAACAGCCTTGTTCCAGAAGACATTTCTGGAGATGAGGGGCCAATCCTGGTGCAACCCACTGACCCTGGTGGAGCTACCCCAGGGATGTGTTCAGCAGGAGACTATCTTGAAGAAGCTCCACAATTTCAAAACTCTTAGGAAGAGGTCAATATTTAGGAAAGGCTGCTCTTCCAAAGGGAAATATGGCTCAGAATGCAATAAAAACAAGAGAGGAATTGCCCTGGCATGGGCATCCATATTGGGCAGGCCTGGATCCACATTATGTTCTGCAGGATTTTTCTCTCTGTGCTGCTAAGACCCAAATCTCAAATTCCTTTTTATGGATTCAGTCCTCCAAAGTGCTAAGTACTCTCTACTCCCATCAGCTTCACCGCTCAGCAGCTCACAGGACTGGGATCTATGTCAATCTAACCCTTCCTGGGATGTAATCCGGGTCAATACCTCTATGGACACAACCCAGTGAAACTGTGAGCTGGATTGTAGCACAGAGCTGTAACACCATGTTAGGGGCAGCGTGGAAGCACATCACCCCTTCAGGAGCTCTGGGAGCATGCATAATGTTTCCCAGGAGCGTGGCCACCTCACCCCCTTTGGGAAGGGTGCATGCAGTACCCAGTTCTCTCTTAGTGCTGACACTGGTGTGGGCCCTGGGAAGCCCTTGAGTTCCCTGAGGTGGAAAGTCTCTCATTGTACCCTTTGCCCTCTTGTCCAAGAGGCTTCTTGCTTCTTCTCCATCCCTTGTCTACCTGCACAGGGCCAGGCACAATCCGTACCCCAAAGGCAAAGAGAGATATTGGTCAGTAGAGCTGCCTGAAGGTAAAAAGCACTGTCCCCCAGGAGTAAAACCAGAGCCTGGATGTCTATATTTGTGTGCTGGGGTGACCATCTTGCTGAAGGGAGGTGCTGTTTGTGACATTGGCAGAGAGAGGCTGTAAGCTGGTTTTCAAGCTGCTTTGATGCTGGCTAAGAACTCTAAACACACTGTGTAAAGACTGAAGGTATGTGAAACTCTATTAAATCAGCAGTGAAATCTGCCGTCTCTTCCACTGGGTGTTTCCATTGCCAGCATCAGAAACGGCATCACTCCGATGGCTGCCTCCAGCACTAGGCTAGAAAAGGTCAACTGGATTTGTAGCTAGTATTTTTTTAACAATAAAAAATGTAAAATATTGGCTCTTTATTTCTGGTGCCTATTGCTTCTTAGTCTGTGAACTTTTAAACTGTTGGGCTGAACAAACTCGCTGCAAGTTTCTTCACATTGAAATACTGTCTCAGTGCTTGTAATGTGAAAAACAGAATGTTTTAATGAGCATCCCCTAGCAGCAGAGAGAGAAATACACAAAAAGAGTCAAGTGCCAATAATTCCCCCACTGCTCATGGTCAATGGGAGTTGTATCCAGTGCCAGCTTAACCCACTGTTGGCCTCTTTGGCAAACATACACTTCTGGGTCCCTACCTTCTAATATGCACAACAAAGAACAGCTGTACAGTACAGTCAGTGTGGCTGGGCTGGCCATGCTGTGGATCCACTGGGACTGGCTGCTCATCCTGCTGCTGCTAGGTGCACCGCTCACCCTAAGTTCCCTGTAAGCTACGTGGCTGGGCAGTTGCCTTCTTAGTGCCGCGCAGGCACTCAGGGAACCTGCCTGGAGGACCGGCCGGGGAAGGGGTGCCCCTCCCCGGGCCCCAACCTAGCTCCTACCCCGGCCCGAACGTCCCGGCCAGACCCGAACCCAGCCGCAGCCAGTGCCTATCCTGCGGCCCCAGCCCTGGATGAGTGTATTGCATGGCTGTTCGGTAGGTCCTAGGCCTCCTCCCTGAATTTGGGCCTTAGGCACATGCCCACTTTGTCATGTGATAATCCAATGCTGGTTGTGCCCCTTTACACCTTGGACTGAATTTGGCCTGGAAACTGAAGTGAATTTCATGCTGATAAAAGGCTGCGGAGATGGAGTTTTCACTCCTTCCACAGAAGAGGTATAGCATGACTTGCAAGTTGCAAAGGCCATCTCTAGGAGTGAGAGGATAGTCCAGTCTCCATGGCTCATTCAATAATTAGCCTAGGGAGCCTGCCAACCCAGAGGCTTGATTGTGATATGGACGCTTGTCAACTACTACCTTGATGGAGACCACAAACTCATCTCATATATGCCACTGGAAAACTACTTGAGGAATTGCCACTGTTCAATCTCACATGTTTCTGTCATTCCTGCTACCACCCCATTCAAAGGGTTGCATCTCAAACACTTACAGATTTTGGCTTAAAGTTCACTAAAACCAACTCTTCAGTTCTGGATTCCTACAGCACTTCCATAGGGTCTTCAGCCATCTGAGTTTCTGGCCCATTAGCAGTCTCAGAAAGGGCTCTGGTGCTGTAAATAGATTATGGCTGCCCCACCTCGCTCTGCTCTGACTTCTGATTACAGAACTTCCTTGTCCCACTTTGTCTTACAAGCACATATGATGCAAATATGCATCAAGAGCAAGAGATGGTGGACAGTGTCTTCAGCGTCCAGAGAGAAGGGAAGTTTCCAGCCAGATACATAGTTTTATCTAATATTCAACATTACTCAGGGAGGATTCCCCATCTCCCCACCACTAGGATGAAAAAAGAGGTTGCATCCTCATGCCAAGTGTATTTACAAACCAAGCACTAGCTAGTTTTTGTAGTGTTTTTTAATCTCTTATTTATTTCCCACCACTAGGTGACCTCTTAGCAAAAATAATGTAACTCCATACTGCTGAACTGCACAGAGCAAAACAGTGAAATATAGATCTCTCTCTTATAAGCAGAGACGATGATCTGAGCTGTGCTGGCATTGCATTCTACCATTCTGTCTTTTTATGACAGACAGGCTGGTGTGGAAGCCAGTGCAAGCATCAAGCTACCTGTCATAAAGTGGGCTACTTACTTTTTAACAGAAAATACATATTTTCCTTTAGGAAATTGTAAAAAAAAAATAGTACAATGAAGATGTGTTATATTTTAAAGTGATCTTACAGAGATGATTACACTTTGGAGAGAGAGCAACTGGAACACTTTAAAATCCATCACCCACAGATGTATATCATTCCTGTTGCTTTCATTTCACACTGAAAGCTGTCTTACACTGTCAGATTGTGCAGCTTACCCTCCCTGGCTGCTCAAACCCCACAAGTTCCTTACGTTGCACAAACTTGTGTTAGTTGCTCCTGCAAAAAGACCCCAATTCAGCAAAGCCTTTCACCACATGCTTAGCTATAAGCACATTACTAATTATTATTTGTACTACAGCAGCATCTCAAGGTCCCATGATGGTAAGCATTATACAGACAGACAGTCCCTGCCTTGAAGATCTTACAATCTAAATAGGCAAGCCAAACAAAGGACGGGAGAGAGACAAAGGCCCAGAGAGAGGAACTGACTATTCCAGCAAAACTAGGAATAGAGTCCAGTTCTCTTGAGTCCCAGTCCAATGCCCTGCTGTCTCATCACTATCCTTAATAGTAGTAGCCCTACAGATTGCAATGTTCTGAATTCAGTGGGCCAATTCATGTGCTCAGAGTTAGGTAATTGCATTGATGAGCCAATTAACCTGTGAAGTTCACTGCAGCTGCAGGTTATTTAGGGAAATATTTAGTAAAATTAAAAAAATGAGTATATGTTTACATCAGTAACAGCTGTGGTTACACTAGCTAGGATGACAATAAAAGAACTTCCAAATTCTTAAGCTTTAGGGCATGAGATAGTTACCATGAGATCACTGTGCATAATTGGATGCATTATTTGGAAATTCATGCTTTCCTCCAGCACATCTGGGATTGGCCACTAACAGAGAGAGGATACTGGGTTAGATGGATCCCTCAGACTGTTCTGTCATAACAGTTTCTGTGTTCTTGTGCATTAAACTGTTTGTGACTTGGAGACAATTCTTAGGCGATGGAATCACAAGATTCATTCTGGCAGATTCACGATTTGTTTTTCTTGCTATTGTGACAGACCCAGACCAGTGGGGTACAGGAGTCTGGTAGAGGGCAAATATACTGGTCACTGGATGAGTAGTTTTCTGTTCCCTGAGTGACCAGAGCAGGGGCTGCACTAGAGTAATCAGGAACCTGCTAGAATCAGTTAAGGCAGGCAGGCTAATTAGGACACCTGGAGCCAATTAAGAAGAAGCTGCTAGAATCAATTAAGGCAGGCTAATCAGAGCACCTGGGTTTTAAAAGGAGCTCACTTCAGTTTGTGGTGGGAGTGTGAGGAGCTGGGAGCAAAAGGCACAAAGAGCTGAGAGGGAGAGGGTGTGCTGCTGGAGGATTGAGGAGCACTAGCGTTATCAGACACCAGGAGGAAGGTCCTGTGGTGAGAATAAGGAAGGTGTTTGGAGGAGGCCATGGGGAAGTAGCCCAGGGAGGTGTAGCTGTCATGCAGCTGTTACAGGAGGCACTATAGACAGCTGCAGTCCACAGGGCCCTGGGCTGGAACCTGGAGTAAAGGGCGGGCCCGGGTTCCCCCCAAACCTCCCAATTGACCTGGACTGTGGGTTCTTCCAGAGGGGAAGGTCTCTGGCTGTTCCCCAACCCACATGGTGAATCTCTGAGGCAAGAAAATCCGCCAATAAGCACAGGACCCACCAAGATAGAGGAGGAACTTTGTCACACTATTTATAGTAACTCCTTGGAAACCTGAAACTGGAAATTTGTTTTCTTCCTGAAATTGTTTTTCCTCCACCATGCCATGTTTTTGTTTGCTCATGAGTGCTGGGGCTGCTAGGATGGTTTTTTTTGGGGGGGGTGAGGGGGTAGATGGCTGGAGAGAGGAGAAAAGCATTGAAGTATTTGTTTTTTTTTTTAAAACATACAAAGTCTTGCACGATATAATGAGAAATAAGAGGTCAAATTTTGCATCCGGGGAACATGCCTTTTGGAGCAGACAATAGTTGTGAGCAGCTCAGTAAATTTACAGACAGATAGGTGTAAAATACCTTGTGCCAAATTTAGCTTCTGCAAAAAACAATACACATCTTCTGAAATCAGTGCAGTTGCTCCCTCTTAGGCCAGGGCTGAATCTGGTCCCTTGACATGATGGTAGTGCAGAGAAGTCAAATAGTCACTACAATCACACAACACTTACTTTGAAAATCACCAGAACTTACTTTCTCCGCAGAGCTGAATTTGGGTTTTTAGCTGTTCTATGTCGCAGGAGAACCGGGCAGACCTACCCAGCTCTTCATCATATTTGCGTTCACTCACAAAGTGCTACAAAAATACACGGAAATTAACATTGACTAACATTCTAATGTATCCCGCTTCATTATATGGATGGTGAAGAAATCACCCTAATGTTAATTATCCCAAAGTCACTGTAAGGTCTCCGCTGTCTGTCATACACCAATGCTCAGGCTCTCTGCACAGAATCTGAGCAAATAAAACAGGAGTTTCCCATTCTGTATTAAGTTCTGGCAGTGTAAAGGGACCTTGAAGTAGGTGTACATTACACTGTACAATACACCCACTTTAAGGTCCCTTTTCAATGCCAGAGATGGAATCAGGCCCAAAATGGCCTGATGATTGTTAGGCCTCTCAGAGGCCTATGGCCTGGTCTACACTAACCCCGCACTTCAAACTAAGGTACGCAAATTCAGCTACGCTAATAACGTAGCTGAATTCGAAGTACCTTAGTTCGAATTTACCATGGGTCCAGATGCGGCAGGCAGGCTCCCCCGTCGATGCCGCGTACTCCTCTCGCCGAGCTGGAGTACCGGCGTCGACGGCGAGCACTTCCGGGATCGATCCCAGAAGATCGATTGCTTACGGCCGGACCAGGAAGTAAGTGTAGACCTGCCCTTTGATTTCGACCGAAAGATTTTGTTGACTCACTTGCAGAACCTGGTGGAAGTGGCTGGGAATGCCCTTCTGTAGCTTTGCTTCCTCCTCTGTGACAGGTACTAAAGGATAGAAAGAAATCTCTTGGCTTCCTTCCTGAGAGCTCTGACATGTGGGGTTATACAGAGCTCCAACTTGTAGCCCCTCCTGGTCACTGCATATGCCTCCACCAGGGAGGGGAGAGAGCAAGGTATTTTGGTGTGCTACAATAATATACCAGCAGTACTCTGTTCTGGGGGTTACCTGGTCACTTACAAGTGCACTTCAAGGTACTGGCTACAGTCCAAAAAGCCTTAGCAGCAACCATTATGGGGGGGATGGCCTCTTTCCTGATGTCATGTTGTCACCCCCAGTGTCCGTTTCTGTGCCAAGGCAATCTCAGCGAAGCTGTCACCTGCAGTCTGAGTTGGTGTGCTTCACAGCACAATACAAGAAGAACCAGATTGACTGATGGATCAATTTGATATGTGGGAAAAGGAGCTTGTGTCATTCTTCCACTGTGCAGAAGTTTTTGTTCTTTGGCCTTTAAGCTTACAGGCTCTATTGGTCGCAACTAATTGGGACTAATAACTCTGGGATGCACACACAGCAGAAGCCCCTGCTACACTATTTAATGGGGTGCAGCTTGGACCTCCTCCATACTAGTTTCTATTCATTGGCCAGAAGTACAGAGGCTTGCCCTGAGCAGGTGCCCCTCCCTGCCACACCCACAAATGGTCAGCAACAGTCCTAAACATTTATAGCACAGAATAGGGATACAAAGTTATGTTGGCAGCACAGGCTCAGTATCCATGTAAAGAGAGCACACATCCAAATGGAAGTGTCTTGGTGGACTAACCTTAATTTCAGCCCTGAGTTCAGCCAGTTGTGTCTCAGCCATCTGACTAGCTAAGTCTGTCAGTCTCTTTAGCTCCTCAGCTCTTTTCTGACGAGCAGTCAAGATTTCCACTGCCAAGCAAAAAGGATAATACATTAGTGCTAAGAACATAATCGCTTTTTAACTAAGTACTGTCTGTACATTAACATTATTTGCAGCGTTGTTGTAGCTGTGTTGGTTCCAGGATAGTAGTGAGACAAGGTGGCTGAGGTAATATCTTGTATTGGACCAATTTCTGTTGGTGAGAGACACAAGCTTTTGAGCTAACACAGAGCACTTCTTCAGGTCTGGGAAGAAGAGCTCTGTGCAGCTGGAAAGCTTGGAAAAGGTATTATCTCACCCACCTTGTCTCTGTTCATTAACATTGTACATCAACATGGGGAAAACATACAACATGCCAAGCACATTTCCACCCATATGACCCTGTCTGCACCAATAAATCCATTGATTTGGATTAAACGTAACCGTTTATTGTTAAGAAAGCTATGAAATTGATATGCTGTTAGAAAATCAAAATCCCCACCCAAAGTTAAACCTGCCCTTCCACATTTAGACAACCAGATGGTACATACGGTGTTTTGAGCTTTTTCCAATGCTTTTTTTTTTTTTAAAGCACAAAATCATCGAGGACTCAGCTGAGATGTAGGAAGTGACTTGAGCCAACAGCCTTACATCCGGGTGCATGATGTCTTTTATTTAGATGTGACCATTTTATCCCCTTCTGAAAGAATTCTGTTAATATATAGTTTGTCTAATTTATAAGAGTTATGGTTTTGCTTTCAAGTACAGATTATGCTCTTACGTAGTTTATCTAATGAAGCCATATTCCATTTATGTAACAAATTCTAAATGCACAAGATTTTTATGAAAAATATTAAATATACAAGACTTCACATGTTGTATACCCTGTATAAGGAAATGATTATTTTACACTCCCTAATCTGCTATCAGAAAAAATTCTTATGAACCACAATAGCAATGGCCAACTCTTTCTTGATGTTTAGGATTATGTAATATGACAAATTGTGGAGGACAATGAAATTTGCAGTTACTGCACACTAACATCCCATGTAGACAAGCCCTTACCCTCTTTGTGCCTCCGTTATACCATCATTAAAATGAGGTGTAATATGACCAAATCTTACAGAGGGTTTGTGTTGATTAATCCCCTAATTTTTGTAAAGAGCTTTGAGTTCCTCACATGGAAGGCTCTGTGGCAGTGAAGAGCACTGATAGTTATGCTTAAGTGGTGGCCTTTTCTTTGCTCCTTAGCTGATGTTTTCATTCCACCCATCATCCTTAGCCATACATGGAATATAGCCTCCAGCGTTGTTACGTGGAGAATCCCTGTTGGATTGCTAAACAAGTCACTACGTTTTATAGTGATCACCTTGCTTATACTTTATTCCTGGCTGAAGGATTACTTTAAATTGTGCTAACTGTGCTGTCTCTACAGGTTCAGGACCACATTTTCCAAAGTGACAGTCCAAATCATGTGCTAAAATTCCACAGCTGCAGACGCACGCTGGCATGTGGTACACATGCAAATACCTATTTTTGCACACTGTTAAGGTTATCAATTTGGGAAATTTGACCTATAGAAATACACCGATATAACGCGACCTGATATAACACGAATTCGGATATAACGTGGTAAAGCAGTGCTCCGGGGGAGGTGGGGGGGGCTGCGCACTCCGGTGGATCAAAGCAAGTTCAATATAACGCGGTTTCACCTATAACACAGTAAGATTTTTTTGGCTCCCAAGGACAGCGTTATATCGGGGTAGAGGTGTAGTAAAAATGATCATCAGTTAAATAATCCTCCGATGTGGCAGAAAGATGTGAAGATAAATAATAACATAATTATTAATTAATACTACACACATTTCAGTAATAACAGCAACCCGAAGATCTAAAAGCACTTTACAGACTCTAACCCTCACAATAGCCCTGAGAGACAGCAGAAGCTGCAATTTAAAGAAAGGCACAGAAACCTGCCCAAACACACATACAGTGTCAATGGGAGAGCAGGGAATTGAATCCAAAGTGATATATTAATACAGCACAAACCCAATAGGTACACCCTAAGTTAGAATCTCTGTATAATATAACTAGTTTTACTTAACCCAAAAAGTGGATTCTAGCCTCAGACTAGATTAACGTGTAGCCCTCTGATAACATCAGAGCTGTACTGTGCATTTCTAAAATGTGGCTTTATTTGTGCATTGGATCCTGCTCCACTGACATCAATGGGAATTTTGCCATTGACTTCACTGAAGCAGGAGCATGCCCACCAGGTGATTATAACAGTCTCTGCAGGTAACCAAGGAACTGCTGGCATGTTTCTATCATCATCATAAAAAAAAATAAAAAAATCCCCCCAGAACTCCAGATCCACATGTCTATCATGTTTGTGTTAGAAGATCTCTCACAGGAAACATTTTAAGTGTACATTATGGACAAACTTTGCTAGAATAATTTGTTCTCTTTGGCCTCCACACATGTATAGTCACAAGGAACTTATCTGAAAACACAGATTTGTTGTTGTTGTTTTAAACACCTTTCCGCTAACTCAAGAGATCTACATACAAATGCAGCACTCCAGAACATGTGTATTTGTGACCCGCCCCCATAGCGCTTTAGGTTCAAAAACCAATGAAAGACTGATAGATTTTTGTCTGTCACAGATGAAGAGACTTCTTCCTGAGTTACTAATATTGGGACAAATCCTGAGCTCACTGCTCAGCCTTTTTAGTCCTTACTCAGACATACTCCCACTAGAGCTGGTTTAAAAGTGTTATTGCTAATATGGGGTGTACCGCTGCTGCTGCAGTGTCCCATTAAATCATTGTTGTGTGTTACCTTTTCCCTCACCAGAATATACCTATCTAGATGACACCTATACAAGAGACAGAAATTAGATGAAAGTCTGGAATGCATCTGATCAGATTTGCCTCAACAGATAATTAGGAAAACAGGTTTTGAGCAACATCTGTTTTTAAGATACCTTTTAAATTCATGAGCATAATTACAACTTTCCTTAAAAATGATGTAAAGCCAAATATAGCCGTATTATGTGATATTTCACTATATATCTTCATATATTCAAAGTCATGTATATAGTACTATAGTGAACGTAATGAGATATATTTTACTGTTTCACCATTAGCAAACGAATGCAGGGATTGAGAAAGGAAAATGCAAGAAGCACTCTACAAACTGTAACAGTAGGTTAAGTCTCAGCTTTGAAATCTCTAGATTACTTGGGATCACAGGTTTAAATCTTAACTGGGTTGATTCTTCAACCCTCCAAGACAGATAAAATGATTTCCATGTGTGTGACAGGGTACTATCATCAGTTAAAATATATATGTCATTAAAGTCAGCAGGTAAGTTTCTGAATACGTGCAGGGGCAAATCTGTAATAAGAAGGTGCCGTATTTACAGTCACTTTTCAGAACAAAAACATACTTTAAAAACGGAGGTTCTGTCCATTCAGAGTCATTAAAAATCCCATGGACATTTTCATAAGAGAAGGGGTTTGGCTGCGTGTATACAGGACTCAATCCTGCAAGCCTGGTGCAAACAAAACTCTCATTGATATCAATGGGGATTCCACACATGGAATGTTTGCAGGACTGGATGTTTAGTCTCTAAAAAAGTGTGTTGAGTCCTTCAGAATGAAAGGTGCCATATAAATAGAGAACACTAGAGAACTAGTGATGTCACCGCATCCAAATATTCTGAAGGGTTAATAAATTCCAAGGCAAAAAAGTGACTTCTTGACTATATGAAATTCTGCAGCCATCTTTAGATTTTGACATGCCTGCATTATTGACTATTACTAAGGCTATGTTTTAGTCACAGGTATTTTTAGTAAAAGCCATGGACAGGTCACGGGCAGTAAACAAAAATTCACGGCCAGTGACCTGTCCATGACTTTTACTAAAAATACCTGAGACTAAAACTTGGGTTGGGGGTTCTCTGGGGGTGGTGATCTGGGGGCGCCGCTGGTCCGGGGGGGGGGGAGAGGGCGGCAGCGATGGCGCATGGCCTGGGACCCTCACTGGTGCTGGGGGGGGGGGGGGGGGGGGTTGGCGGGGTGGCAGGCTCCCAACCGGGCTCTGCACAGCTTCCTGGAAGCAGCCAGCATGTCCCTGCAGCTCCTAGGGGAGGGAAGGCCGGGGGGCTCTGCGCACTGTCCCCGCCATGAGCTTCAGCTCTGCTGCTCCCATTGGCTGCGCAGCTCCCATTGGACAGGAACCACAGCCAATGGGAGCTGCAGGGGCAGCGCGTAGAGCCCCCTGGTCCGTCCGCCTAGGAGCTACAGGGATGTGCCGGACACTTTCGGGGAGTTCCCCCCCAATGTAAGCGCTGCCCTGCACCCCAGTCCTGAGCTCCCTCCCACACCCAAACTGCCCCAGCAGTGGCCGGTGCGACTGGCCCAGGAGCTGCCTGATCTGCTCGGACAGCCCTGGAGCCAGCCGCACGGGCAGCTGCAGAAGTCACGGAGGTCACAGAAAGTCACGGAATCCGTGACTTCTGTGACAGACACGGAGCTTTAACTAATACATGTTAACACTCCAGCTGAATTTATAGGGATGGAAATCTATTAAGCTTTGCTACACAATTCTTTTAGCCAGAACTTGTTCAGGAAGTGGTAGAGAATACCAGAGGCCCTGTATACAACAAACAATGCTGTAATGCTGCTGGAGGAATTGATTTACTACTACATTTTTCTGCAGAATCAAAAACACACGTTCTCCCAACTTTTCCAAAACATACACAGGCTCTCTAGTATGTTTTCTACTTACTGGCTTCTTCTTTAACTTTATCAACTTCTGCCATTAATGACACTTCTTTGTCTATGATGCTAAAAAGGAAAAAAAAAAAAAGATTTAACCCAAGATAAAACTATGATGTGAAGCAAAACTAAAATATCTTGTACTAATAAATGCTATTATACAAAAGACTTCAGAACACTGTTACTAAGAGATTTGGAATTAATAAAGGGAAAAATTAAATGGAAAGAGATAAAATAACTAGAGATTAACTGAATACAGCAGCCAGTGCTAACCAATCTCTAATGAAAGTTAATATATTATTAGCCAGATACTATCCTTTTGCATTTATATGTGGATATCGCTGATCTAGCTGCACAAGTACTGTCTGGGTGCAATGGTACTCAAGTCCATATTCTCACTTCTGGATTAGTAAAATGCACCCTAGCTAATATCCGTGTTGACCTGGTTTACCTCACAGTGCAGTTTGTTACAACAATGTAATTATGGCCATGAGCTAACAGCTTTCTCTCCTTAAATGATCAGGGAACAAGTTTCTCCAGAACATGGTATTTTAATCGAGTAATTAGTCTGTCCTTATGTAAGATACATAACCTTTGGCACATCACCCAGCAAGGTCACTAGCTGGAAGATTCACCCTCCTTGCCCAGTTTTTGTAGGATTTATGGAACGAGACAGGTACATGGTTGACTTCCTTCCCACCTTCTTCTCCTGCAGAGTTGCTGAGCTCCCCCACTCAAGCAGAACTCCTGCAACCCTCTGCCACAGCGCTCCCCAGTCCCCATCTGTGCTTTTTAACTGGCAAAATGCAAGCAGACAGGTGGATCTGTTGAGAGTTAACAGTGGGTCAAAGGAACTTTTAACATAATGATGCAATTTAGTGAAGTAACAGCACTAGAGAGCTCCCCAATAGATGGCGCTTTTGTACATAGCTCTGATATACTTTGTAAAAGAGTTCTTGTTTATTAACCATTATCAACATTAATTTTTCAGTTTCAAAAGGGTATTTTTCAGAATCAAAAGGGTTTTGGTCTTGCTTTTAAAAAAAGGGATGGCAAGTAGGTCAGATACCACAAGTGAAATCAGGCAGGCCACTACCGGGGGAAGTGGAAAGTTTAGCTCTTACTACAGAAACATCATAAAATCATAAGCCGTGGCACAGAATGAGATATTAGGAGTTCAAGACCTAAAAATAGCACCATGAAATATAGCTTTCTTTCTGAATCAAACCTTACTGATGTGAGGAGACTCACAGAAGTCAATAGAACTGAAACCTTCCATGAATAAGGCAAGGCTGATCAGGCCCTATACATCTGGGTTGTTATTCTTTCAGTACTCTAACATAATTGCATTGGGTGATGTGATTTGTATGAAAAGCAAGGGACAGTGCAGCTTCGCACCACCCCCAGTGTAGCTCTGTGCCTCTTTGACACAATCGGGCCCATAACGGGAACAATTATATTAGCAATACATGTGTAAATACAGATATTAATGTACGTATGGTCCTACAGCCCAATAAAGAGTATAAACCAAGAGTATGTACGTGATGTAACAGCAACGTGAAGTGTAGTTACACACAGTGTAAGCCTAGAGTATGTATGTAACAGTAACACAAAATGTGGTTATAGATAGGCTCACTTATAATTATAAAATTGCTTCTTCTTGCCAAAGACCAACTGTATGTGCTTTAACTGTGCATACGTCCTTTGTCAGGAGTCTATATTCTGCATTGTCAGATGGATGAAACAAGAACTAGAGATGGGCTCGGAGTAAAACTCTGGCTCCGAACAGTGCCTCCTTTTAGTAAGGTTCATTTTCTAATCCAAACTTTGCACCTCTCCTCTCTCTACAATGGGCCAAATCAAAACCCCACATCCAAACTTTGGGGTTGTTCAGATCAGATCTGAACTTTGTAGCTAGCACAAGTCTTTTCCATCTTTAGCTATACAGCCTGACTGGTACTAGGAAACTGAACAATCAACCCCTTAAGTCTCAATCATACCTTCTAAAACAGCATTGAAAATGTTTTTTTTTCCTAGTCTACACCAACACACACAGATTTCATTACAGGTTCAGAGGCACCCATTGCTGATAAATATTTTCAACAATTCAGTTTCCTGCTATAGACCAATCTTATTATGATCCTAAATAACTAACAGGATACAAGGATATTTGTGTAAAAGCAAATACAGGTCATGATTCTTCTCTCTTACTCTTACACTGAAATAACTTTACTGACTTCCCCATCCAGCATGCCCTTTTAGGCAGCTGTTACTTGGCCCATACTATATATAATACTTTACAATACACAAGAGTTCAGCTCTGCAGTTTCAGTACTGTGAACAAAAAGCTCTCATGAAGTCAATGGGAGTTGTGTGGATAATGATTGGTGAACAAGGTCTTAAAGGATTCACCAGAGCACTGGAAACTACAAGTTAGTTGTGGTATAAACACCTGACCAAGTGGAAATGGTTGTTTGCAGTGCCGTTATAGCCGTGTTGGTCCCAGGATATTACAGAGACAATGTGGGTGAGGTAATATCTTTTATTGGACCAACTTCTGTTGGTGAGAGAGACAAGCTTTTGAGCCACATAGAGCTCTTCTTCAGGTCTAGGTTTCCATTTCAGACAGCTAAATTCAGTATCTTCCATTGTTGTATGCAGTGTAGTTGTAGCTGTGTCAGTCCCAGGTCCTGAAGAAGTAGGACCTGAAGAAGTGGTCCAATGGGTGCTCAATATTCTCCAGGCATCTGAATAGACTTGGGATCCAAATGGGCAATTGATAATTCCAGCTTATTGCTCGGAAAAGCAATTGCTTCCCAGAATCTATTTCCTATTAATCATTCATGACCACACAGGGTACTGAACTTCCTTGGCTGAATTCTCCAGGTGACAACAGTGAGTCGTGAAAATTGCACACAAAACAAACAAAAAAAGCACTTACAAAAGTGCATCTACAGTATGCCACGGGTTATATAAACACAACCTTCAGACTGGAAAAAAAAATGAAGAAATACCAAGCAATAAGTTCATGTAAACAGAATTCACAAAAAAGGCCTGGTCCAATCCACTTCAGACCAACTCCCTCCCCATTCCAATAATAGATCTTTGAATATATGCTAAATTGCTTGGCCAGTTACATTATATTTTGATTCCAAATAAAAAAGCTTTTATTACCAAAGGAAGAACGAGATCATAGCAGACCCAAATTTCTTGTATATTGTACAATTAATCACAGTAATAACTTGTCATTTTCTAGATAAGTTTTCACTCTTGATCTATTCTGGTTGGCTAATAAAGAACCCCCCAGGAAGGTGCTCAGATACAACACAGAAGTTCCTAGATAGACAGGAATGATTTTGAAATTCCCTTCACAGCTATTAACTGTAATTGAAGATTGAGGCATAAACAAACGTGACATGTCTGTGGTTCATTTGCCACCAACAGAATAAATAATATGTTAGACTAAGCTAATTTAAAGACCAGATCCTCAGCTGGTGTAAATGACATGGCTCCACTGAAGTCAAAGGAGGTACACGAATTTATACTAGGAGAGGATCTGGCCCCATAGCTCTAGTATTATAGGAGGAGGATGGCATACCTAATCCCAGCAGGTGGTTGTAAATCAACAGTTCTTAAACTGGAAATTGCGAATCACCAATACATCATGAAGGATTTGTAAGGGGTCTATGAACTAATGAAGGAATATGCCTTTCCCCAGTGAATGTCTAATGCCAAACAGCACTGGAAGGTGGAGACTCAGTGTAGTCCGCTTCTCATTTACTCATGGCAGGACCAGGGTCTGCTGGGAGTGAAACTGACTAGTCTGATTCAATTTCCCTTTCAGCAGAGCCCTGTGCAAAAGGAGGTTAGTGCAGAACTCTCTTAACTCTTCACCTGCCAATGGAACTTCACAGAGAAGGGAACAAATGAAAAAGAGTGACAAACAGAGGGGGGAAAAAGATAGAAGACAAATGTACACAGAAAGAAGAAAAATAAATAAGGGTATATCTACCCTGAAATTGAAGGTGTGTTTGCAACTTGAGGGGAGACACCCACAGCAGCAGCACGGACACTATACAAACTTGCCCTAAACCCTAGGTACATAACTGCGTTGCTAACCCACACTGGGGTCTGTGCCACTGCCTATTCACTGCCAGTTTTAGCCACATTAGCTAAATTACACCAAGCATAGGTATGTCTATCGGAGCTGCAATCACCCCTCCAATTGCAATGTAGACATTCCCCCAAGAGGGAGACATGGATGTAAAGAAGAAAGAAGACAAGTGGATGCTCCTGGGGCTGGTGTTGAGGCAAACCCATTTCCCTGCTATCTTTAGGGGTATGTCTACACTGCAAATAAAAACTGCCGGCTGTCCTGTGCCAGCTGGCTTGGGCTGTGGGGCTGTTTAATTGCAGTGTAGATGACCAGGCTCAGGCGGGAGCCTGGGCTCTAGGACTCTGTGAGGTGGGAGAGTCCCAGAGCTCAGGCTGCAGCCCAAACCAGAATGTCTACATCGCAATTAAACAACCCCACAGCTTGAGCCTCACGAGCCTGAGTGAGCGGGCCCAGCCCAGCCGCGGGTGTCTACATGCAGCGTAGACATACCCTTAATATTCCAAGCCATTCTCACACCGAAGATTTTGCTGCTCGTGCTTGTATTGAACAGTTTCTTCAATTGTAAGTAGTCTAATTGGTTTCAATGAGACTTCTCAAGGACTAAGGTACCACTCACCCTAAGCAACGCCATTAGATTCTGGCCCTATAAGCTACCAACACTTGAGGCTGCTCAGAGCATTGCTTACCAATCTCTGAAATGAGTCCACAGTATGACCTTTCCCTGTTGTAAACTGGCTCTCCGAATGCCTTTACATTATGCCTCAATATTGTCACTTTCAGACCTCATCAGTCTCCACTGGATACCAAAGCTGACAGGTGACCTCCTAATGTGTGTTTTGCAGCTGTTGGAGTGAAGGGTGGGTGGGAGGCTGAAAACTCATGTAGGGTCTTGGGGAGCTTGGGCCTATTGTAGGGTCATGGAGTGTGAAGGGAAGGAGAACTCCAAGTTTAG